AGAGGCACACGGGGAGGGGGGAGAGACATGGGGAGAAAGACAGAGGGGGGAGAGAGATACAGAGGGGCTGTGGGAAGAAAGAGGCACACAGAGGGACTAGGTGGAGACAATGAGACACAAAGAAGGTTTGTTGGGGAGGGCAAAGTGACACACAAAAAGTTTGTGGGGGCCAAGCTGAACTGGGGGAGAAAGATGCACACAGAGGGACTGGGGTGAGACAAAGACACGGGGGAAGAGAGAGAGAGAGACAGGAGGGGGAGGGGGAAGGGGAAGAGACACACAGGAGCAGTGAGGGGCTGTGGGAAGAAAGAGGCACAGAGGGCGACAATGAGACACAAAGGTTTGTTGGGGGAGGGACGACAAAGTGACAGACAAAAAGTTTGTAGGGGCCAAGCTGAACTGGGGGAGAAAGATGCACACTCTGGGTCTGGGGGGGGAGGGGGTGAGGCAAAGAGACACAGAAGGTTTGTTGGAGGGGACATGGTCACACACAAAAGGGGCTAGGGGAAAGAGATATACAGAGGACTGGAGAAGGGTAAAAAGAGACACACTGGATAGAATGAAGTAAAAGATACACAAGGGGGGCTTGTAAGAGACACAAAAGAGAAAAATTGGAGACAAGATGCACTAAACAAGTTAGAATACAAATAGGGAATAATAAACACAAGAACGGCAAGAAATTCAAAAGGGGGTTAAAACACAAGAGGAGATGCATTATTTTTGTGTTTGTGGAGGGGGATGCATTTTCGCATGTCCTGGCGCGACACATTATTGGGCTGGTATAGAATTTTTCCAGGGCTACTTTTAGTTCCCAGTCCGGCCCTGCTGAATGTATTGCAGCATCTCTGACTCAACCTAATCTTTGCAAGATTCCTGGCTACCATAGCGGCAAAGCAGCTGTCTGGTCCAAGCACTTCTACAGCTCTAACACAACTTACCTGCCTACTTGACCGAACCGACTGTGAGGCCTCCACACGACCTGCCCAGTCAGCAAGATCCCCTTCCTCCATGGCAGATGCTCTGAACTATTAATCTTTCAGCCGCTGAGGAGCCGGGAACAGAATGTGGACAGGGACCAAGGAGCTGTAACTCTGACTCATACAGCCTTTGAAGACGGCAAATGCCGCCTCTTGAAGAATAAGTGGCACCCATGCACTAGTTTGCGTTCATTGTTCCTGAGACACAAGCCTTTACCTCAAAGCACTTGGCGCAGAGAGCTCCATTGGCAGCCTGCAAATTAGGAATTGTATGATCAGGCTACAAGTACCTGGCTGCCTCCTTGTGGGCTGTCTTTTGCCCCATCTTAATCAATTTTACTAGCAGTAGATTCCTGCATTATATCTAGCGTTACAGTTAATCAGTTGATACAGTTTATTTTTTTTTTTCTCAACTACTTGTCTAGATAGTCCTCACTACTAACTAACTTACACTAACTAAGCGTAACATTTACTCTATGTCTAGACATGTTTGTTTAGCCTGTCAACATTATACTAAGCAATATCCATGCCTAGGTGAGCTCGCTGGTTGCATAAAGTATAGGATTATTTACCACCTTAGACATGATTTCCTAGCTTAGATCTAGCTTGTATTCTATTTTCTAAAAAAGTGCTGTTTCCTGTGTTTCATGTCATGATGGCTTACTAATTTTGTTGTGTCATGGTGAGCGTACTTGTATGCATAAGCACGTCAAAAACAAAGAATTAAAAAAAAAAAAATAAGTTTTACATTTTTGTGGCAGTTGGCCAGGTATCTGTCTGGGCAGAAGTGGTGGCATGGCTGTTGCTGGGACTGGAGCTGGCCTGGGGTTGGGTGACAGTTGCAAGAGCTAAAAGCACATGAAGCTGGGACAGAATAAAATGTGAGTAAAGTGTAAGCGGTTACTGAAGCTGCAGTGACTCAGACAGACCCTCGCCCTCCCTCTAAATTTATTTTAATTTGTATTGTGGTGGTGTTATTTAGCATTGGGGCAAAAGTCATCCTCAGTGTTAAAGGGACACTGTAGGCACCCAGACCACTTTAGCTCATTAAAGTAGTCTGGGTGCAATCAGTGGCGACGCTAGACTTGGCGAGGCGTAAGGCGAAACTCATACATGAGGCCCCCACTAACACCATTATTGAAAAAAAAAAAAAAAATAGCAATTGATTTGTGTGTGTATAAGAAGCTGTAGATATATTGAAGGGGGAGCTTGCAGCACTGGGTATAGAGAGCTAGTCTTTGTATACGTCGTTGCATTGTCTACCTGTGTGTGTCTGGCACTGAGTATCCTTGTATATGTATGGATGTTTCTCTGAGCATGTGTATGTTTGTATACTGCCTGTGGCCTTTGGCCTATGTTTTATGACGGTGTGTATAATTATTGCCTTCAGGGGGTGACAGGGTGAGTAAAGGGGTAACTGTGGCAGGGTGAGTGTAAAAGAGCAGGAGGGTGACAGGCTGAGGGGGGGTGACAGGAGGTGGGTGCCAGTGTTGATGGTGAGAATGAAGGGAGTTGCCCGTATGTGTGGAGAGTGGTGCCCGTGTGTTTGGAGGAAGAGACAGTATGTATGGGGTAGTGTGTGCCGAGAGGGGTGACATAGTGTAGGGAGGTGAAAGAGTAACAGGGGGTGACAGTGTGAGAGGGTTACATTAGTGTAAGGGGTGTGACAGAGTGAGAGGGAGGGTGACATAGTGAAGGGGGGTGACAGAGTAAGTGGGTGGGTGACATAGTGTGATGGGGTGACAGAGTGAGAGGGAGGGTGACATTGTGAGGAGGGTGACAGAATAAGAGGGGATGAAAGTGTGAGGTGGGGTGATATAGGGTGAGGTGAGCGACAGGGTGAGGTGTCAGTGTAAGGGGGGTGACAGTGTGGGTAACAGGGTGAGAGGGGGGTGACAGAGTGTGCAGGGGTGGCATGAGGTGAGAAGGGGGGTGACAGTGAGAGTAAAACCGTAGTGTGAGAGGGTTACATTAGTGTAAGGGGGTGACAGAGTGAGAGGGGTGACAGGTGGGGTGATAGGTGAGGTGGCAGGGTGAGAAGGGGTGACAGGTGTTGGGGCAGGGTTAGAGGGGATGGTGGGGTGGCAGGCTGAGAGGGGTGACAGGTGGGGTGGCAGGGTAGGGGGGGGTGACAGGCTGAGGGAGTGACAGGTTGGGGGGAGAGGGTGGGATTGACAGGTGGGGGGTGGCAGGGTGAGGGGGTTGACAGGCTGGATGAGGGTGGCAGGGTGGGGGGGTGACAGGCTGAGAGGGGTGTGAGGTGGAGTGACAGGTTGGGGGGAGATAGGTGGATTGACAGGTGGGGTGAGGGGAGTGACAGGTTGGGTGACAGGGTGAGGGGGGTGATGGGTGGCAGGGTGAGGGGAGTGACAGGTGGGGTGGCAGGGTGAGGGGGTTGACAGGCTGGTGAGGGGGGTGTGAGGTGGGGTGACAGGCTGAGGGGGGTGACAGGTGGTGTGACAGGATGAGAGGGGTGACGTGGGGTGACAGGCTGAGGGTGGGGGGACAGGTGGGGTGGCAGGCTGAGGGATTTACAGGTACCTTTTGTCCCTAGTGTCTGAGTGTTTCCTAGTCTCCCAAAGTCCCCTAGTTTCCCAGTGTCTCTGTGTCCCAATGTCTCCCAGTGTCCCCATGTCTCCTAGTGTGTCAGTGTCCCCTAGTATAAAAAAAAAAAATCTCAGGCACTCACTGTGATAGATTTAAGCAGGTTTATTGGACACCGCAATGTTTTGACCTGTACCTAGGTCTTGATCTCCACTGTCCCTTTTGTATCAGAGTGTCTCAGTGCCCCATGCCTCCCAGTGTCCCTGGTGTCTCTGTGTCCGTAGTGTCTCAGTGTCCTAAGTGTCTCAGAATCCTCTAGTCTCTCAGTGTCCCCATTTCTCACAGTGCCCCCAAGTGTCTCAGTGTTCCCTAGTATAAAATAAAAAAATCTCAGGCACTCACTGTTATATATTTAAGCAGATTTATTGGACACAGCAATGTTTTGACCTGTACCCAGGTCTTTATCAAGTCTCCAGTGTCCCCTATATATCACAGTGTCCCCTATGTATCACAGTGTCTCAGTGCCCCATATCTCCCAGTGCCCCATCCATAAACTTCCTGCTTTATTGGACACTGCTGTTAGGCGGTATGGGTTTACTTGAAAGTTGAAAGCATGAGATTAGCATAGGATATGTTTTCCTATGAGTTTCCCTTCAGCACCATATCCATCAGATACCTGACGCTTAGGAGGTAGGACTGTTTTAGTGGTTTTGGTCAATAAGATTTTGTAATTAGGCCCATCATAATTGTCAGCACCAGGCCCACTGGGCTCTTAATCTGGCCCTGGGTGCACTGAATGAGTTAAAACGACTCATGACCTAATTCTAAGTTTATTTACATTGGACATATGAAACCTCACATGATTAGAATAAAAATAGCTGGTTTCAAGGCAGTTAAATATAAAGAGTGTATAAGTAAATGATTAATTCATAGTTGATGATATAAGTACTTATGTACAACCAAGCACTGCACCTAGTTCTCTTAACATGTTTCCTACTATGTTCTTAAAAAGAAATAATGGACAGCTATGTGCCAGTTTTTTTTAAACACAGGTGGGGTTATTTACAGGCATACCCTGCTTTACATACACTCACTTTACATACACTCGCAAGTACAGACATACCCGCGCCTCTTCTGTTTGTGAGTGAACAGTAAATGGAAGGTTCTATTCTCGCCTGGAGCAGCTCAGTTCAGTGTCATTGGGGCAAGAACTTGTCACACCTTCTGACATGGCACAGGTTAATCCTCTCAAATTTATAATGTCTACTCCTAGCTGAACATAAATATATATTTTTTTTCTGCCCTACATTGTCCATATTCAGCAATCGGCGCCATCCAGTGAAAGGGTTTACCCTGCCATTTTCTATAACTATGACAGCACAATTCTGAGGATTCAAAGTTAAACCATAAATGCTTAAAGTGATGAATAGGTGTTTCTAAACAAAGTGTGCAGCTAAGCTGCTTATAAATACAAATTGGCACTGTATTTTCAAAAAATGGCCCAGTGGGCAGGTTTATTTTACTTCTCCTACAAGTTTAAGGTTGTCAGATGAGTAAAACATTAAAGATAAATGGTTCAATCTGGAATGAGATTTTTATTTTTACTGTTTGTTTTAACTGAATAAAAGCCCACTGGAAATCATTAAATACCGTATTTATCGGCGTATAACACGCACCTCATTTTAAGAAGGAAATTTCAGGAAAAAAAAAACTTACATTTCAAATAAAGAACTTCTTACCCCCTTCTTACTCCCCCCTCCCCCTCTTCTTACCCCCCTTTCTTACTCCCCCTTCCCCCTCTTCTTACCCACCTTTCTTACTCCCCCCTCTCCCTCTTCTTACTTCCCCTTCCCCCTCCCCCTCTAACCCCCTTTCTTACTCCCTCCCCTTCTTACTCCTATTTACCCCTTCTTACCCTCCCCTTCTTACTCCCCCCACTCTCTTTTACCCCCCACTTCTTTTTATCCCCCCCCACTCTCTTTTTTACCCCCTCCCCTGTAGCGTGGCCGAGCTGCTCTGCTGTCCGCGGTGCCCGGCCGGAGTGATAGGAAGGTGCACGCTCAGTGTGCACCTTCCTGTCAGTCCGACCGGGTACAGGAAACAGAAACTCCTGTTCCGCGAGTTTGTCTAACTCCTGGGAGACTGTTATGGAGATTCCCACTCCTTCACTCATAAGGTGTGCAGAGTGGTTCATTATTGTATATCCTTGTAGCTACAACAGCTGAGGTTTTTTAAGACCCAATATCAGCGCGGTTTACATTATGTATCTGGACACTTGTTCAGTGAGTGTCTCTCTGGGTTTTGTGGCTATTTCAAACATCCAGACTTACACATATTGCCTCTCGGATAGAGCTGCTATCACAATGTTGGGCTCTTTGCAGCACTACTAGTTGGGGTCTCCGCAGACATTTACTTCCAGATGTTTCCATAGAGGTCGACATACATAGTCACAGAGAGACACACACATTTCAAGGTACACACCTTTACATATTTACACAGACAAATACATATAGATATTAATCGCAATAGTTCCAATTTCAGGAGGACAATTCAGTGTCCTCTCCTGCAATCCGGACTTTTTCCCTAGTGTTCCACTTTTAGGGACACCAGGGAACTGTACACAAAAATAGAAGTGTGGGGGGCGGAGCCTGGCTTCCAGGCTGCATGGACGTGCTGAAACAGAGCTCCTGAGCACAATGGCACGATTCGGGGCAAAGACCCCAATAAAAATGCACGCACAGCACCTGGAGAGTGACAGCAGAGTCGGGGACACCCGGGCAAAACGATCAATACCAGTAATTAACCCGCTACTTACCGGGAACCGGCACCAGCACCAAGAGGCCTACTCGAGACCCTGTAGGGGAGAGGCGGCCGCTCTCCTCGCAGGCGACCCTGCACATAGAACCTCCACGATACTCATCTCCTACCCCCCCCCTCTGGACCGGCGGGGGTTATCCCGGTCCGCACAGTGTGTTCGGAGACACCAGCTACCCGGAGACGCGAACAGAAGATAAAGCAGTGCTGGCGCCCACACGGCTCCCCCAAGATGGCGGCCGTCACCACGCTGCCTGCATTGAATCAGCTACAGCATACGACGATCCTACAAGACACCGCACAGCGCCTGAACGCAATATTCAGCCGCTTCTGGGCACAACTCAGAGACCGCATGAGAGCAGCACAAATCATTCAGAAACCTGCACGGATGGCAGGTAAGAGAGGCAGCTGGCGGCGGGGACAGGGAAGTGTACCCTTGGGCACAGCGACAGGTGACCCACGCACCCCCAAACCACAGAGCCCACCCGGGCTGAAGGCCAAAAGGGAGAAGACCCAGACGCATCGCCCACACGCAAGGAGGCTTTATCGCCGCAAGCGGCCAAAGCCCATCAGGCCCTCCATTGCCCCCGTCAGGGGAAGAAACTCAGGCTCCAGTAGTTGCAGAGTTAGTGGCACCGAGATGCAGGCCTATATAACAGCCTGGGGCTGGAAGGATATCTTCACACTGCCCACCGCTGCTGCAGCCTTCAACACCACACCAACCAATGCTCACTGTTTCACAAGGGACGGCATCGGCTAATGGAGACTCTCTACACAAAGTCTCTGGACAGGTCAGCACCAGGCCCATAATCCCTCAGTTTAAGCCTGTTAAACTAGGTGTCCAGGACTGACAACCATGGAGAGCAGAAAGCATAAACACACACAACTCCGAACCACAGTGCTCTACAAGCAAACAGTAATGCTTAACGACGTGCAAATGTTATCTTTTCTTTTATGTCTACTGCTATGATCTCTCATCACGCTACCTACACAATTGTTTAGCCCGGCATGTTAGTAGTTAATAGTTTTATGCTTCACATAACCCTGCCGACAAACCATGCCACAATATGCGGCAAAACAAGCCAAGATAAAAACCTGACTTGTAAGCATATAGCAGCTATTTGAGCGACTATTGAAATGATTTAGCTGGTATGTTACCTGCCATAAAGTGCTAGCTGCATTAATACGACTAATTTAGCATTGTTAAGCTCTAATTGTCAATTGTCACTACTATTATTTGTCTCCTCTACTTTAACTTAGATACTATAACTGTTTAGTTATAAAAATATAGAAAAATGTGCATATTCTCAGGCCACTGTCTAACATGTATTGATCTTGTTATACGCTGTTGTGGCGTTCGTTGACACCATGTACTCACCTGCACAATAAAAATAAAGAATAAAAAAAAAAAAAATAGAAGTGTGAGTGTATCATTAGACGTGCTTGCACTACTCAGCTCCATGCAGAGAGCGCTGAATCGATGTTTTATGCATGGTTTCCCGTGGTGGGCCAACCTCCTTGATTGGCAGGCAGCCTGACTATTCCCAGGTTGACTTGCCAATTTTTTGGGCAAACAAGCCTACTAAGGGCAGTGCCAGTAAAATCTTTCACAGTTTTACCCTGTCCACCGACGTCCCACTTACCAGGACTACAACAATAGGGTGTATGGATACATGCACTCAGACATATATAGTTGGTTTCCAATTTGGGGTCCATATGCATTATTTACACAGACCCCACAGGAACACCAGGAAGCAGGGACATAACCCCGAGGCCAAAAATAAAAAGGGTTAAAAAAATGCATTTAAAAACCCCCACCAAAACAAACTAATATTGGGTATAGATGGGACTGGAACAAATACAGCTTCCTCACACAGGTATCCACACAGGTGCCTACCAACACAAAAATACAAAGTTACAGCTATCCACTGTTGCCATTTTTATTATTTTGGGTAGGATAAACGAGTATTTAAGAATTCATTTATATAAAATGGAGGAAAAAATCACACAGGTACTTCTTGCTTCTGTGTCTTAATTTTAACTAACACTGCTTCTGCTTCCCGTCTCAGGAGGAAAAAGAGGAGTAACAACAAACTTTATTTACACGCCTTTTAACCATACAATGTATAACCCCTTAGCGACCCAGGACGGTTCAGGACCGTCATCGGCATTTTTGCCTTGAGGACCGATGACGGTCCTGAACCGTCCTAACGGTTTCCGTTACTTACCTGATCGCCGTCGTTCCCCCGGCGGCGATCAGCGTTGCTCCGGTTGTGGGGAGACTGCCTGCAGCCCAGACAGTCTCCCCACACTGAATTAGGACCCCTGTGGCCATGTGATCGCTTAACACAGCGATCACATGGTCACAATAGGTGTCCATGTGTCTGCCTGCAGGGGGACTGCCTGTGCTGACAGGCAGTCTCCCTGCTAGTGTAAAATCAGAAAATAAAATAAAGTTAATGTTAATTAAAAAAATAATAATAATTATATATGTGTATATATGATATATAGACATATATTATATCTATATAATATACGTCTATATATCATATATATATATGCCATACTAAGTGTATTTTTATATTAATATGTACTTATATTAATATAAAAATACACTTATAATTAAATTACACACGTATATATATAATATATATAATAACTATATATATTGTATATATATATTATTATAAAATATAAATAATAAGTAATTTAAATTAAATAAAAAATTTTTAAAATAATAATAAAAAAATAAAAAAAATTATATATCTATATGAAATTTTATTCTAACTGTATTTCAAAATTAATATATATATATTTATATCAAAATACACTTAGAATGAATTTGTATATATATCTATGTATATAAAAATAAATAAAAATAATAAGAAATATACATATGTCCATATACAAAATTACATAAATAATTATATAAATATACACGTAGACTTCAGATATATAAATATGCATATATATTTAAATTCTATGTGCGTATTTATGTAATAGTTTTACATAATTCAGTAATTTTATTGATTGCAATTTAAGGGACCTGCCTGCCAACCCAGGCCGAAATTCCAGAGAATTGAATTTGCTAGCACTGTATTTTACCCTGTAACGTTCTACGACACCCTAAAACCTGTACATGGGGGGTACTGTTTTACTCGGGAGACTTCGCTGAACACAAATATTAGTGATTCAAAACAGTAAAACATATCACAGCGATGATATTGTCAGTGAAAGTGACTTTTTTTGCATTTTTCACACACAAACAGCACTTTTACTGATGATATAATTGTTGTGATACGTTTTACTGTTTTTAAACACTAATATTTGTGTTCAGCGATGTCTCCCGAGTAAAACAGTACCCCCCATGTACAGGTTTTATAGCATTTTTGAAAGTTACAAGGTCAAATATATGGGTCAAATATTTTACATTGAAAATGGCCAGGTTGGTTACGTTGCCTTTGAGAGCGTATGGTAGCCCAGGAATGAGAATTACCCCCATGATGGCATACCATTTGCAAAAGAAGACAACCCAAGGTATTGCAAATGGGGTATGTCCAGTCTTTTTTAGTAACCACTTGGTCACAAACACTGGCTAAAATTAGCGTTCAATTTAGTTTTTTTACTTTTTTCACACACAAACAAATATGAATGCTTACTTTGGCCAGTGTTTTCGACTAAGTGGCTACTAAAAAAGACTGGACATACCCCATATTGAATACCCTGGGTTGTCTACTTTAAAAAAAATATGTACATGTGGAGTGTTATTCAGAGATTTATGACAGATAATAGTGTTACAATGTCACTATTGATAAATTTTAAAAATTTATGTTTTGAAACCGCAATATTCTACTTGTACCTATAGCCCTATAACATGCAAAAAAAAGCAAAAAAGCATGTAAACACGGGGTATTTTTAAACTCAGAACAAAATTTTGAATCTATTTAGCAGTTTTTTTAATTCGCTTTTGTAGATGAGTAAAAGATTTTTCAAGTAAAAGTCAAAAAACATGTATTTTTTTCAATTTTTCATCATATTTTTTTATTTTTTTTAAATTAAAATACATGAGATTATATAAATAATGGTATGTAAAGAAAGCCCCTTTTGTCCTGAAAAAAACAATATATAATTTGTATGGGAACAGTAAATGAGAGAGCGGAAAATTCCAGCCAAACACAAACACCACAAAAGTGTAAAAATATGCCTGCTCGCAAATGTACAACATCGCAAAAACAGTCCAGTCCTTAAGGGGATAACATAAGTTACAGCACTATGAGAGCACTTTTAGTTTATACATCTCAACACCCCAACTTGCTCTCAAGTCTGTTATTTTTTGTTGCATATTCATATATTACATGACTTGTATTACAAACATATAACTCAAACTTTTCTAACTTGACTTTGTTGCAGGCTTAGTCATAATATCTGCTACCATCTTGTCAGTTGGTCAATAGTCAAGAACTATGTGACCTTCACTGATAACTGATCTAATGAAGTGGTACTTATTTATTCATAATATATTTATATCCCCTCTTCTTACCCCCCTTTCTTACTCCCCCCTCTTCTTACCCCCCACTTCTTACTCCCCCTCCCTCTTCTTACTCCCCCTCTTCTTACTCCCCCTCACTCTCTCTTTTATCCCCCACTCTCTTTTTATCCCTCTCTTTTTACCCTCCCTTGTAGCTTGGCCAAGCTGCTCTGCTGTCCGCGGTGCCCGGCCGGAGTGATAGGAAGGTGCACGCTCAGTGTGCACCTTCCTGTCAGGCCGACCGGGTACAGGAAACAGAAACTCCTGTTCCGCGCGGGCTCTTTGCAGCACTACTAGTTGGGGTCTCCGCAGACATTTACTTCCAGATGTTTCCACAGAGTTAAACATACATAGTCACAGAGAAGCACACACATTTCAAGGTACACACATCTTTACATATTTACACAGACAAATACATATAGATATTAATCGCAATAGTTCCAATTTCAGGAGGACAATTCAGTGTCCTCTCCTGCAATCCGGACTTTTTCCCTAGTGTTCCACTTTTAGGGACACCAGGGAACTGTACACAAAAATAGAAGTGTGAGTGTATCATTAAACGTGCTTGCACTACTCAGGTCCATGCAGAGAGCGCTGAATCGATGTTTTATGCATGGTTTCCCGTGGTGGTCCAACCTCCTTGATTGGCAGGCAGCCAATGTGTTATTTTTTGAACTATGTGACCTTCACTGATACTGATCTAATGAAGTGGTACTTATTTATTCATAATATATTTATATCAATTTATATATATTTATATTAATATGTTTGTATCTCTGAAGGCACACAGGATTCTCTGACATAGCTATTGAACCTTGATTGTCGCCAGAGATTTGTATTGGTTCATAGTGGCACCTTTTGTCCATTCCTTTGAGTAACTGCACAAGGTACTGACTTTCCTGTGTAGTTGCAGCCAATGCCATGTATTCCGTTTCACACGTAGATAAAGCTACTGTGGTCTGTTTCTTCGACTTCCATGCATTCAGTGGAACATTCTTGGTTAGACTAAAGCAGTATCCTTTCGTACTCCTTCTACAGTTCACATCAGAGGCCCAATCAGTATCACTATACGCCTCGAGTTTCAAGTTTTTACTGCACTTTCTGTAGCACAACTCATAGTCAATAGTATGTTATAAGTATCTAATCACATGCTTAGCTGTGGTTAAATGTTTTTCTGTTGGCTCTGACAAGTATTGTGACAGTTTACTGATCACCCAGCTTAAATCTGGTCTTGTACAAGTCATTGCATACAACTACCTACTACTTTTCAATATCTTTTTGTATCTACAGGATCATTATGATCACCATGGTCCAGTTTTTGTGCACATGCTGTAGATCTGGGTTTACAATCTGTCATTCCAAACTTCTCCAGAACCCTTATGAGATATGTATCTCTTTTGATTCATCTTTACCAAACCATCTCTTTGTTCAAAATGAATACCTAGGAAGTGTTTGATCCTCCCAAGATCTTTCATCTTAAATTTTGCTGCAAGCATTTTCTTCACGTCATTGAGTACTGTTTCTTCTCTGGAACTGATGATGAGATCATCAACCCATATTAAGAGTATTACTCTCTCATGTCCACATTGTTTGACATATACACAGTGGTCGGTTGGATTTTGTTCAAACCCATTCTCTCTTAAATGATCATGCAGCATCTTGTTCCAATTCCTACCTGATTGTTTGAGACCATACAAAGACTTGTTCAATTTTAAAACTAGTTTCTCATTTTGCTTGGACTTTACCTCAAATCCTTCTGGTTGTTCCGCATAAACCTCACAGTATATTGGGGCATGTAAATAGGCTGTTTTTACATCCATCTGGTGATGAAGTAAACCATAATGTGCTGCCATTTGTATAAAAATACATACTGATGTAATGTTTGCAGTTGGAGAAAAAACTTCGTTGTAATCAATTCCCTTTACTTGACTATAACCTAAGCTAATTATGTGACTGAGGTGAACTTATAGCATCTTTAAAGGTTTGTGGTACATCAAACACCTTGTAACAGTAATGTTTGTTAGTAACTGATCATCGCATTCAAAATCTGAAACATAGTCCTCCAAGTACTGAGGAGTTTTTCTGTCTCTTTTAGGGTAATGTGTACTATGGTCATTACCTGCCTGACCATTGTTCTCATTTCCTAAAGTTTCTATTTCAGAAATTTGGATAATATCTGGACACTCAATTCCAGTCTTATTTGTTTTTGGTATAAGGGGAGCACAGCAATCCTCATCATCATCTAACAAATCAGTTTGAGTCTGTCTTTCAAAACCTCCTTTTGTGATAAACTTCACAAGCCTGTGTTCCCTGTTCTAGGTAAGAGGTAGACATGTGCAATTCATTTCGGGCCGAATATGAATTTGGACGAATTTCGGGCAATTCGGACATTCGGATACTTCTGAATGTCCGAATAGCAGATTGTTTCTGCGGGAGCGATCCTCCACATCAGCCAGTTTTATCTTCTGTGACTCAATCACCTCCTTCATGGCTTAGATTCTATCTGCCAGTTCATTATGTACGTTTGCAAATTCAGCCATTTTTAATAGAATTGGACTGTGTATGTGATATAATACATTAGCCTTATTCTCATTAATTTCTACCTGGATATCTCCTGAAGAATTTAATTGATAGAATTAATTAGAATCTGTAACAAGAGACACTTTGTAGCTCTTTGTGGCCCTCAGGGAAACCTATGGCTCTGGTGAATTGCTCCTTTCAAGAAATGTTTTAATTACTAAATTCTTTTGTTGTTTTAGATTGAATCACTGTTAGGCAGATTATCTTCTGCAATTAACCCTATCTATCTTTGTGGAGTATTCTATACTTTTGTGCTTTTGCCTCTTGCCACCCTTATCTAGCCATAAGTTTGTATAGCTTTTTTTATAATGGTGTAACTTTTGTGAGTCCCTTATATTTTAAATTTTTATGTAAAATTATTTGGTATTTTTAATAAAATTTTAGGGACTTATCTTATGCTTTGTATGCTCTTTTCAGCATATTACACATTAAAACCTTTATGAACAAAACCTCTGATATACTGGCAGGGCCGTTGCAAGGATTTCTGCCACCCTAGGCAAAAGTAACGTTTGCCGCCCCCCCATGTGACATCACAATGCCCCTGCCATGTTAACTAATGCCAGTGCTGCAGTGCCGCCGTGTTTACATTAAAAGGCCTGCAGGGACAGGCTATAGACACCAGAACCACTACATTAAGCTGCAGTGGTTCTGGGGGCTATAGTGTTTCTTTAATGTGAGGTAAATTAGAGATTAGTGCCACGAATAATATACTAGATTGCCTACTTACAACCAGATGAGGATGATGATGGGCTCTAGCTGCAGTCTGGCTCCACTGGTCTGGTGTAGAACAGGCTCTCTGGAGGCGGTTTGTAACTGTGGTCACAAAAATCAATGTTCTGGGAGAACGGGAAGCAGCTCCATTTTTTGAAGGCCTTTTACACAGCTCAAGGTCTGGGTCCCAGGGTCCACCTTCATGTTCCACCAATGAGTTTGTTCACAGGGGGTGGAGTGTGTAGGGGATGTCTTGATATGTGTGTAAGGAATGCATTGTGTGAATCTGTGTTTGTATGTGTAAGGGCTGCAAGGTGTGTTTCTGTCTATGTACGGAATGCAGTGTGTGCGTCTGTAAGGGATGCATTGAGTGTGTGTAAGGGGTGCATTGCTTGTGTATGTGTGTCTGTGTGTGTAATGCATTGTGTGTTTTTCTGTGTGCAAGGGGTGCATTGTGTGTGATTGTGTGTGTGTGATGGATGTCAATCTCTCCCCCCTCCCTTGTCACTCTCTTCTCCCCCCCTCCCTTGTCACTCTCTTCTCCCCCCCTCCCTTGTCACTCTCTTCTCCCCCCCTCCCTTGTCCCTCTCTTCTCCCCCCTCCCTTGTCACTCTCTTCTCCCCTCTCCCTCCCCACTCTCATTTCCCCTCCCTCCCCCATCAATTTCTTTCTCCCCCTCCCTGTTACTTTCTTTCTAACCCCCTCCCTGTCAATTTATTTCTCCCCTGTCAATTCTATTTCCTATTTCCCTCCTGTCAATTTCTTTCTCCCTCCCCTGTCAATTTCTTTCTCCCCTGTCACTCTTTCCTCCCCATTTTCTTTCTCCCCCCTGTCAATTTCTTTCTCCTGTCCAATTTCTTTTCCCCCTGTCAATTTATTCCCCACATCTGTTGTGGCGTGGCGAGGCTCTATATGGTACGGGTACAGGGAGCTTTGTTTCCTGTACCCGGCCGGACTAACAGGAAGTGCACACTAACTTCCTGTTAGTCCGGCCGGGTACAGGAGACAGATGCTCCCTGTACCCGCAGACCATACAGAGGTCGGCCATGCTACAGTGAGGGAGTGATAGGAGGGAGCGCTGAGCGCTTCCCTCCTGTCAGCCCCTCTCCTCATGCTGCGCCCGGGCGGTGCGCCCTCATGGACGCACCAACCCGGGCAAAGCTGCAGCCGCCTGAGGCTCTCTACAGAGCGCTCGGGCGGCTGTAGCAAGAAGGGGGCCGGCGCTCCTGGAGGTGCCCCTTCCCAAGGGGCGCCCTAGGCGGCTGCCTAGTCCGCCTAACAGCTAGTGCCGGCCCTGTATACTGGCAAAGTCCTAGTTTCAGCTTCAGGGTTTTCTAAGTCAATAGATGATGGGTTTTTTTTTAAATTCTTTATTTTTGTATCTCTTCCATGAATAGTATTTAACATTCTGGATAATCACTTAGAGCGTCATTGTGTAAAAAAAAAAAAAACACACAATAGAAAATCAGAAAACCTGTTCAACTATTTTATTCCAGAACAGTAGCTGGAGGTAGTCCTTTACTTATCAACTAAACAGAAAAAGTGAGTTAAATGTCTTTATATAGAGGATGCTTTCATAATCTGTAATTTCAGGACAGTCCAAAGTAATAATGTCCAACCCAAGCAAGCTGTCATTCTTAGTGATTGGAATAATCACTATTGTTGCTAATATTACCGTTCCCTAATGTCATAACTATCCTATATAAAATTTAGAACAGCATTTTGGGGGGCGGAGTCTGACCGTCAAGCTGCACAGACGTGTGGGGAAAGAGCTCCTGTGGGGCCAGCCGAAAATAAGGCGATATCAGTGGCTATACAGCCCAACGACCCACCAGAGTGCAATGCCCACATCGGGGTTGTACCAAGGAATTGGGGGGGGTACTCTTTTTGAGTCTGTTGGGACACATAGACAGAAACGCAACCTGAGGCCTGCGGGAGCTGGAGTCGGGGAGAGGCGGCCGCTGTCTTCGACACCGGATACCCCAGAAATTGCTACTAACCTTCTACCCCCTCTGGACCGGTGGGGGTCATCCCGGTCCCAACTGGACAAGCGGGTTAACACTGACAGTGAGTGATCGAGCCTAGGAAACCTGCAGAGGCAAAAGCCAGCCGGAGCATGTCCAAAATGGCTGCCCACCAAAAGCTGAAGAAAGGGGACACGAGCAACATCTTACACCCTCACCCCCTAGAAGCCCTCAACCGGCTCTGCTTGGCCTTCTACGAGATGCTGTGCGACAGGGGCATGCCCTACAGCTCGGGCAGTGGCTTAGTGGATCCGCCCACCGACGCCATTACGGAGCCCCACTGTATGCCTTCAGGGCAGCCGACCGGCAACGTAAGCACAGACCTCACCGACCTGGACACACACACCCGCTTCCACACACGTGGCACAGAGAAAGCCAGGCAACCCCAAAGCCCCAGCAACATACCCGAACACGGCACAGCAGACCAGCAAGCCGCGCAGAAACACACATCCACGCTGAGGGCCCCAGCAGGGAAGATGCCGAAGCAACTCACCACGCTATCAGCGGCAAGGAGGCGAGAACCAACATGGAGCAAGCCCAAGTCTGACAAGCCATGAAAACACCCAGGCCTGGTCGCCGAAACACACTGCCTCCCTCCTGAACCCCGAAGCCTGGCATGCCCCAGTACAGGCAGGGACTACGCTACACTGGCACTATACAAGGCATAGGGTGAATGGGGACGGTGGTGTGGGGGCTACAGGGGGTATCATCAGCCTTAATCTGCTAAACTGTGAACAGTATGCTTTATTATTTCTTTTTACGTCCTGCCTTTCTTGCTCCCTGGACTCTAACTGTACATTAAGCAGAGTTTTAAGCAGAATTTTTTCGCAATAGCAATAGCCTAAGGGCATGATCTAGCATAACCAATGAGGAAAAAAACAATTACAAATCGTGCAAATCTCATTAAGCGCCCTCATCCAGCTTGTATGAAGTATAAGCCCTATTAGATTCAAAGCCTCTAACACAGTCCAGCTGTGTAATCTCTTTGTACATCTCAAAAGTTTAGCATATATTATTAAGCATGTCGACAGTTTAATGGCAAAGTTTATGCTCTTCACATAACCATACAACTATGTAACTTATCTTTTTAGAACGTGACTTCATTACCTATATATGAGGTAAAAAACATGGCAAGCAAATCTTATTTCCCTGTTTTTTTATTAGCTTACAAGCCTGTTGATCCCAAGCTAGTTATACTAATTTAGCTTAAACCATATTGCTCGTAGCTAGTTTACTTTATCGTTACCTTTTTCATTTAAGAATGTATGTATAAAAACTAGAAAGTACAGGGCGCCACAGTCACTATGCCAGTAATACAATGAATGGGAGTTTAAATGAATAAAGTAATTGGGTAAAAACAGCAAGATTTATTGATAAAAGCATATAAACAATCTCAGCACAAAATATGTGCAATGCATAAAGAATACAAAAGCCACAGTAGGCTAAGGACCCATAAGTATAGCAGCTCAATATAACATTATACTGTGCTAAGGCAAAAAGTGCAAATGCTAGAGTGCAAAGCAAACAAAGTGAGAGAGCATAAAGCCAATCACTAATGTAGGTGAACTACACTCAGCCAAAACACAAATACTGCACAAGCAATATAAGTAACCAGTGTACATGCAAATGAGAAACCGCTGATACCAAATTGCAGGGTCCCAGGTTGTGCTCGACACGTTTCGTCTGTGCGACTTCCTCAAGAGCTTCTTCTTTCTTCCAATCTTCTCTCCCTTTTAAATCTGCCAGTCTGTCCAGCTACTTCCGTAATCGCGCATGCGCACGTCTCGTCACACGCGTCGACATACGTAATGACACACGCGTGACCGATCCGCGCATGCGCGACCACACTGGAACCACACCCAGACCATTCCTTGTTAACCCCCATTCATTGTATTACTAGCATAGTGACTGTGGCGCCCTGTACTTTCTAGTTTTTGTGTTTTGTAATTAAGGTTGGAGTGACCTTTATACAGAGGCTTGCCTGCACTTGGGACTCACCACTTTTCACCCACCTCTTTATTAAAAAATTTATGTATACCCAACATTTCTGGGAAAATACAGTGTTTACATTGAAAGGTAGGAACACCTCAAGTTGTAGTCACTCAGACTGCCACCAGAGGGACTTCCAAGTTGATGGAGGCATAATGCGCCTCCATCCACTCAGATCTGCTGTCAGCAGAGCACAGGGCAGCACTGTGCAGCACTGTGCACGATCTTCCTGTCTCCCAGAGCCTGTCAGCAGCAGCAGTGCGTGGGAGTCGGCTGGAGCTGACAGGCTGAAGGCAGAAGGCTGCAGAGATCTGACTTCAAACTATAAGTACACTTATTTTAAAAATTTAGAGTTAGTGTGAGTGAGAGACAGTAAGAGTGAGAGAAAGTGAGTGGGAGAGACAGTGAGAGAGAGAGAGACAGTGTGTGTGACAGACAGTGAGTGAGAGAGAGACAGTGAGAGAGAGAGACAGTGACTGAGACTGTGAGAGACAGTGATAGAGACAGTGAGAGTGTGAGAGAGACAATGAGTGAGAGAGACAGTGTGTGAGAGAGACAGTGTGTGAGAGAGACAGTGTATGAGACCATGAGTGAGATAGTGGCAGAGACAGTGATTGTGAGAGACCATGAGTGTCAGAGAGACGGTGTGTGTGAGAGACAGTGAGAGTGTGAGTGTGGGTGATTCGGTGACTGTGTGGGTTAGTGAGTTAGTGTGGGCGGGTGACTGTGTGGGTTAATGAGTGAGTGATTGTGAGTGTGGGCGGGTGACTGAGTGATTGTGAGTGTGGGTTAGTGAGTGTCAGTGTGGGTTAGTGACTGAGTTTGGGCAGTTGACTGAGTGATTGTGATCGGGGGTGAGTGAGTGGGGGTTAGTGAGTGATTGTGAGTGTGGGCGGGTGACTGAGTGGATTAGTTAGTGAGTGATTGTGAGTGTGGGCGGGTGACTTGTGGGTGAGTAAGTGATTGTGAGTGTGGGCAGGTGACTGAGTGTGGGTTGATGAGTGGCTGAGTGTGGGTGGGCGGGTGAGTGATTGTGAGTGGGGGTCAGTGGGTGAGTGAATGTGGGTTAGTGAGTGAGTGACTGTGAGTGTGGGTGGGTGAGTGAGATTGAGTGAGTGAGGGATGGATGGATGGATGGAGAGGGAGGGATGGATATGGATGGATGGATAGGGATCCCTCTCTATCCATCCCTCCCTATTCATCCATCCCTCTCCATCCCTATCCATCCATCCACCCTCTCTATCCCTCCATCCCTATCCATCCATCCTTCCCCATCCATTCATGGATAGAGAGGGATGGATGGATGGATAGGGATTCATCCATCCATCCCTCTCTATCCATCCCTCCCTATCCATCCCTCCCTCCCTCCCTATCCATCCCTCCCTCCCTCCCTATCATCCCTCCCTCCCTCCCTATCATCCATCCATCCCTCCTTCCCTATCCATCCCTCCCTCCCTCCCTATCTATCCATCCCTCCATCCCTATCTATCTATTTATCTCTCCATCCCTCCCTATCCATCCATCCATCCATCCATCTATCTCTCCCTCCCTATCCATCCATCCCCATCCAGACGGGGGCGGGTATAGAAAGCGAGCACATGCGCGGTTGATGATATAAATGGATATCATCAATGGTTAAGTATAGAAAATTAAGCATTAGTGGCAAATGATGTCAGAAATATTATTTGGGCCCCAAAATTATAATTTAATATGATTATTCCAATAGTTAGGGATCTGAGTCTAGCAAGGAAAAATCTACACTATTAGTACTTGAGATTATGGGATTTGAATATTTTTTTTTTTTTTTTTTTATTCTTTATTTTTGTTGTGCAAAGAAGTTTGACAGAAATGTCTGCAGTGCCACAGTAGCAGTAGCAGGCAAGATTAGACATCCATTCATTGAGAGAACAAAAGGTGAAGTTGCACATTTTGCTAAAATAACATATTAATACAAATTGTGTTGTTAGGTGATTAAAATTCAGAAACAGAGTAAAGTCATAAACGGTTTTATAACCTAGCGTCTTCGTGGTGCATAACAATAGAGCTACCCGTGGAAATAATACGGCAGATAATAAGTCAGAATACGGCAATATGATGGTAATAATCAGTCGAGGGTGTAAAGGTCAGTATAGTATGGGCTCGGACTGTGTCGCTTGTAGTTTAGTGTAGTTTTGTGGCCACTCTAGGGTGTAGGGGAGCAGGGACGCATTCTGGCCTTTCATGGTTAGCGTTTGTCGTCCTCTGGGTGTATGTTGGGTCAGTACGTCGTCGGTAGTCGGGACTCCTCTCAGTGTAAACCGAGGCGGTTCCATGTCTCTGAGTGTAAATATGGGAAAGGCATGGAAGGGCTTTAGTGTTTATAAGGGGGCTGTGCGCCTGGTGTGTGGTCCTGTCTGTGTCTCAGCAACCGCTGAAATGTACCCTCTTGTCTGCCGGCTCGGATTACATGGTTGTCACTGGGGACCCCCTATGGGTGCGGCTGTTGCTCTGGGTGGTATCGTAACTGGGAATCCAGTGGGGTAAGGAGGACAGCTCCCGGGAGGTTGCCTGGCCCATTTAAGAATCTGGGTTTAGTGTCCCGTGTGTCCCCGTTTCCATGTCCCCCTATTCCCCGTGCCCCACTGTCATACGACCTTTGTGGTCAGTATCGTCCCTAGGGTTTCATGTGTCTATGTTCAGGGCTTCCAAAGCACACACTTAAATCAAATAATTAAACATAAAGTGGCATAAAATGTGTAAACTCAAACATTTTAACTCAGACGGAGGTCAAAAATTTTTTTTTAAGTTGAAACTCTTGGTAGGTATGGACAGTCATTATGGGAGCAGCTTCATGGCCGTCAGGCCTCCGGTATGGGTAGTCTCATGGAGGGTTTAGCAGCTTGGGGGTATCCCTTTTCCCCCTCTCTCCAAGTGTGTGTGTCTTCGCCTTCACGGCTGCTGGGCGACCGGTCCCTTGTAGTGTCTGGGGAATTGCAGGTAGGGGGGCAGCTGGAGTTTCTGCAAGAAGTCTGTCGGGTCCTCTGTGGCAGACAGGACATGGATTTCCTCCCCCCTGGATACCACTAGTGTTCCCAAGACCCCCCATCGGTACCTGATGTCGTTTGCTCTCAGCAACTTGGTGATGGGCAGGAGTCTGCGCCTGGCCAGCAGAACTGAAAATGGTAAGTCCGCATACACTGATATGGAGCAGGCATCTACCTGCACGCTGGGGCTTTTCCTGGAACAGGCCATTATGGCAGACTTCACTGCTGTGTCCCTTGTCACCGCAATTATGTCCCTGGGTGAGTCAGCTGGAGCCGTCGGTGCCTTCCTTATTCGAAAGGCTGCCACCAAAAGCGGTGAGTCACCATTCTCTCTGACCCCCATCGCCTTTAGTACTTTGTGTGCAAAGTCCAGGAGGGCCTCCGGTTGTACGGTTTCTGGAGCTCCGCGGATCCGAATATTCCTCCTGCGGTGTCTGGCTTCTAGTGATGCCACTGTGCGGGTAAGGCTGTGAACTTGTTGTGTGAGGGTTTCCACCTGGGAGTGGGTGTCTGTCAGGCGCTGCTCACGGGCTTCCTCTCTGGATTCCGCCGCTGCGAGTCGTTGTTGCAGTCCGCCGACTTCCACCTGCACCCCCGCCAGGTCCGCCTTCCATACCGCCCTCAGATCTTGAAGGAGTTTTTTGATGTCCCCCTTCGTGGAGGGAGAGGCATCGGAGTCAGAGTCCGCTCTCAGGTACACTCTGTTGGTGGTCTGCCGTGGACCCTCTTCGTCTATAGAGTCGCTGGAGTCACTAGAGCCATGCGGTCTGTCCGGCGCCATCTTGTTGCGGGCCTGCGGCTGTTCAAAAGAAAGTCTGATGTCTGAGTGGGTTACACTCTCCGGACGGGCATTTTTTTTGTTTTTGCATCCCATAGTATTCTGTGGGGCTGTAGGATCTCCAAGGTCGTTTTTTGGGGGTTAAAATTCTGGTGCAAACGGCTTTTTCTCAATGTTTGGGATTTGAATATTTTTATTCCAGTGGTAGTTTTGGAAAACATGATGGGCAATATCAAACTGAAAATATGGAATGAAAAATGAATAGTACATATCTATCAGTTGATTGAAAATACTAAAGTAAAATCTTTCAATACAATTCCAACTACTTATTCCTTCAAGTGAACTCTATAACTCTACATACAGACACAAAATTATATAGAGAAAGAAATATCCTTAAAAAAAATACAGAGCTAATCATAAAATCAAAGACATCTTCTTGGGGAAACATAAAAGAAAAACTAATAGATTGATTATTGATATTGTGGATGAAAAAGTAAAATTGAAGTCATACCCAACCATAAAAAAATGGATTAAAGATTTAAATCTAAAGGTGGAGGGGAATATATGGATTAGATGAATTTCACGAAAACAGCTATTCACAATACAAATTTGCTAGAAACTTATTTTAAAATAATCTTTAGGTGGTATCTAACACCAGAAAGATTAACCCCTTAAGGACAGCGGGCGTGCTATGCCGTCCTTGGGGTCCCAGCTCTAAACGCCGGGGGGGCATAGCACGTCCCCGACGTCCTTCACACTTACCCGGTTGCCGGCGATCGCGGTGTGGGGACTCCCCTGGCAGCCCAGGGAGTCCCCCTCTGTCCGTTTCGGGCCTCCTGGGCCATGTGATCGCGCGGTCCTTGCAAGGACCTCATGATCACATGGACGGCATAGCCGTCCAAGGCAGTGCCAGCAGTGCCAGCAGGGGAAGTGCCTGTAATGACAGGTACTCCACCTGCTGCCTTAAAAAAAATAAAATAAATGTTAAAACAGTTTAAAATTAAATTATATATACTTAGATCATATATATATTTATTATATATATGATCTAAGTATATATATATATATATATATATATATATATATATATATACACATACATACACATAACTATACATACACTGTCTAAGAGTATTTTAATATTAATATATATATATATATATATATATATATATAACTATATAATACACGTAGAGTATATATTGATTAAATATATATATAATTATCATTATATATATTTATATATAATATAAAATAAATAAATATGTAAATATGTAAAAAAAATGTGTACATTCATTCTAACTGTATTTTAAAATTAATATATATGTATATATATATATATATATATAAAAAACAAAATTTGTTCTTGCACTCACGTACTCCTTAGGTATTGCCTGGTGCATAAGCCAGCTGACAAGCATGCTATAGAAACCACAAAGATGATGGCTGCACTCCTCGGACTTCTTAAAATTCAAAATGCTTTATTATAAATCCATTAAAATGATCAACGTTTCAGCCCCAATCTGGGCTTTCCTCAGGATCGAAAGAACAAAAATACTACAATACATATACTTACAATTACTTATATATCATAAAAGAAAATTGAAAGACTTACCACAGCTGATGCCAGCGCCCGCCCGGCGTCCCAACGAACACAGTGCACATGCGTGTACCTATGTAATCAAAGGGGATAATTGTAATCCAAGAAATGTTGCCTTAGTTACCAGGCAATGCTAAACTGAGCGGCAGACTACGGGTGAAAGGCCCACCCACTAAAGGCGCGTCCGCCCACCTGATGTAAACACGCACGGCGGACGCCGTAACGACGTCAGCCAAATAAACAAACCCCTAGTAAACGGCTCCATAGAGACAGTTCACCAGAACACGCTGTACAATGCGTTCAAAGGACCCTGGACCGGCCGGGCTCACCCAGTGGCCGGACAGAAAAAAACACATAAAAAATTTATAAAAAATAAATAAAAACATAATCTGGTACATACATAAATAGTTGCCCAATATATTGCAGCATATATATCAGTTAGGAACACCTGATAATATATATCATAGGGTTTGAAAGTACACTGTAGTTGAACCACCTTATTGAATTTAAAATTGGTCTTTCCTATGACTTTTCACCAACATTCACCTACAGTCGCCAGAGTAATTTAAGATAATTGGCAAATGGATGCAACAGATGACACGCTCCCAAAAGTTTTCAAAGAGTCTCCACTTATTTGTTTTAGAAGGAATAGGAATTTAAAGGATTTACTAGTACGGACTGATCCAGTTAACAGTTACAACACAACACCCAAGACAATAATCAGAGGAAGTGTACGGTGCTTAGGGTGTGTTACCTGTGGACATATGGTACCGGCTAAATCTTTTCATCACCCACACACTAACAAAAGATATGATATTAGGCACACGATCACATG